TATATATATTAATATGAAAATTTTTCCTTGATATTATTAATATTTAGATGAATTTTATAAGATTTTACATGGTTTTCATTTTTTGTGCAGAAAAGGATCTGAATGCATAATAATAAGAGTTTTTAGAATTAATTGAATATCTTCTGAAGGTTAAGGGACTGAACTACAAGAAGAAAGGAACTTCCTTGGGGACTTGAATGAATGAATCTTAAGTTTAGGGATCAAAATGCTTATCATAAAAAATGGAGGACCAGATCTGCAATTTTACCATTGAAGAAATTGCAAAAAGAGCCAGAAACCCGACACGGGTGTAGTGTCGACACATAATCGAAGTGTCGACACCATGCGTCAAGCGTCCACAATTAAAGCTTCTGTTCCTGACTTCCTATTCTGTATCGACACGTAATTCCGGATGTCGATATCATGCGTTCGGCGCCCAAAATACATGTTTCCTATTCTGGTCCCAAGTTTTTTTTTTTTTTTGGTTAAAATTTCTTAAACTCTAAAAATACCCACTAAAAAATCAGTTTTAGGGCTTTTTGGAGGAGACCAAAAGAGACGGTTAAGAAGAATTTAACAACAAAAATAGATCAAAATTTGAGATTTTATATTGTTAAATTAGTTTTATTTATCTTTAAATTTTATTTTATGGTATTAGATACTCATATATTTACTATGGGATTATTGATTTTTTTTTTAATTATGAATTGATTTAACCATATAAGTATACGATATAATCTAATCAATTTAATATAAAATTTTATGATTTTTATGTTTTTAAGATTTATTATTTTATGTAAAATATATATTATTGTTCTTAATACTTTTTAACGATTGAATTCCATTAAAACTGATTTGAAGAGTATAATTAAGACCGAGAAGATTTTATGTAATAACTTTTAGTAATATATATCATGAAATGAACAAAAATTAGAGATAGACCAACATGATTTGTTCAGCATTAATGATAAATATATTTAATTTTTTACGTAAACTAAGGAATTTTACAGAATATAATACAAATTTATCTATTTAAATTTACATAAAAATATAATGGATTATATTAGGTGAAAATAGATTTGGTATAACTTGAAAAAGTATATTAAATAAAACAAAAAATCTCATTATCACATAAATAATAAATAGTTTAGAAGTATATTAATCTAAATTTTATATTGATTGATTATGATTAAATCTAATGTTTTAAAATTTTAACTCTTGATGTTATTTAAAGGTAGTTTAATTTTTTTTAATTAGTTTAGTTATTTAATTTATC